GTAAGGTCCTCAAATTAGTGAAGGAACAGGAGGGGGTCGAGTGTGCTGCCCCAAACCTCATTAAGGAAGAGTTCTTAGTAGTTCAAACGTGCCTCTGTTGGTAAGTTAAGTTAGCACATGGGTGGAGGAACACGAGGGTGTTGAGTGTGCAGCCACGTACTTTAATGAGGGGGAGGTCCTACTGGTCCCAAACGTCCCTCTGCTTGTAGTAAGTGAAGTCACACACGGGGGGAGAGGTACAGAAGGGTGTCGTGTATGGAGCCTCAGACATAACCGAGGAGATGATCCTAGTTATGTCAAACTTTCCTCTATTGGTAAGTAAGTCAGCATATGGGTGGTGCGACGGAAGGGTTTCGTGTGTGCAGCCATGCGCCTCACTGAGGAGGATGTTCTAGTAGTCCCAAACGTTCCTCTTTGGTAAGTACCGTCAGTTGGTGGGGGGGACAGGAGGGTGCCATGTGTGCAGTCGCGCACCTCACTGAGGAGGAGGTCCTATAGTCATCCTAAACGTCCCTCTGTGTGTAGGTAAAGTCAGCACAAGGGATGGACAGGAGGGTGTCGTGTGTGCAGCCACGCACCTCACTGAGGAGGATGACCTAGTGGTCACGTGCGTCCCTCTGTTTGAAAGTATACTGTCGAGCATACTATATTTGCCACCTACTGTGGGGGGGGGGGGTCCTGTTGATCCTGAACGTCCCTCTGTTTGAAGGTACTGTCAGAGCATGTATCTGCCACATAGAATATAAGGAAAACCTAGAGATCCCGAAAGTCCCTCTCCTGGATGGTACAGCCAGTGGAGGAGGTCCTTCCTGAACCGAATGTACCTCTGTTGGAAGTTACAGTCAGTGAAGGTATCTACTACATACGCTTATTTTTATTTACGGCAAAAGGGATGATGCCCAACTACTCTAATATAAAAAGGTCACGTAAAAGAGAATTTAAGATAAAGTTATAAGATAGAATGTTGTAAAATGTTGAGCTTAATGTTCTACACTGCCATAAAAGTTTTAAATAAAACTCTATTATGACCTTTTTATTTGTTTGTATTTATTTTGAAAGCAATTTGACGAGAACATGCGAAATTTTTAAAAGAATAAAGAATAAAACAAACGAATGAAAGAGTTATTTGTGTAACTAGTGGGCCAAGTGGCACTTATTTGCTTTACACGAGAGAAATGTTTACGCACGAGCCCTAGGCGAGTGTGGAAGGTTTCTTGAGTGCAGCAAAGGCGGTTTGCACTCACGTTCCATATTTTATTTTTCTTACAGCTCCTATAAAGCATACTGTATAGACAATTAGTCTTTCAAACACTGTACAACACGTTTTTAGGTTAGGTTAAATCCAAACACTAAACCAAATGGAAAAAGCTGCACCAGCAGATTGTAGTCGTAATATCTTTAAGTGTTGCCAACTTATTTTCAAGCATATACACGCATTACGTGCCTCATAAAAGCATGCTGTTTTGTGTTGTTTGGTGGGAATACTAGTGTGCGGCAAAAAAACTGTGTGCAAAAGTAAGTAGCTGCAGCAATTAGCAACTTTCTGTGCTAATCAGTGCTAGGAAGGTCACTTTGTAAGGTGACTGAGTAGGGAAAATAGATATCTATACTATACCAACTATAGTACATGGTACCGTAATAGTCGATGCTAAGACTTGTAAAGTTTACATATTTTAAAATCCTTTCGTATTTGAACAGTCGATACTCCTCGTGGCAGAGAAGAATTTCGCAGCTCCGTTTTTGGCTGCGGTAAACGTTGCGTTACCTAGCATATTTGGTGACAACAGTGACCTCTTTCTGACTGCGTCGGCACGCACCTTGCTGTTCGGTGGCGTTCTCATAGACTGTTGGCATCGAGGAGTGCTCACCTTAGGGGTCTGCAGAGGTCTCAGGGACCAACCATCTGGATTGAGGAAACTCGGAGAGGACCGATACTCCTTCTCCTTCCTAGGTGCGGTAAGTAATCAAAGTGGCCACCAAAGACATTTCGCGAGTTCATTGCTTAATCTATAATTGATGATACTTAATACGTCCTTATAATGTACTGGTTTATGAAACTGCACATAATATAGTCATTTGATATAACATTTAAATACAGCCCACCCTCGACTTATGGTCGCTGTAATATACAGAAGATTTCCGAAGTTTTGCATAGCCATATTGGTACGCTCACGTATTATATTTCTTATACTATTGAATGCTTCGATGGTGTACTGCATTTATTAAGAAACGTTGTATCTTTGAATAATAGTCAATGGTTGTAGCTATTACAGACTTATTTCCCCATGCAGTTTTTCGAGGTAGAATAGGACCGCAGCCTTCTCCGACTTATCGAAGGGGCGACTAAATGGTGACTGACGCTCTCACTGGAAATCTATGGGAGTGCCACTGCTGAGTTGCAGGGGTTGATGTGTGCTCTACACTGTCGATGGGTAGTCTCGGTGAGTTGGGATGAGCCAACTACTTCCTTGGTCCTTGGTCAAGTAGTGCGGCATGGATAAAGAGGTCGGGCTCTGAGGTCATCAGGTATTCGGTGCTGGGCAAACAGGGGTCGGGCACCGGGGAACTGGGGTAGGGGTTTTGTTCCCGAGGGTATACCCGTTCCCGACTGTTTATTGACCACCCCTTGCCGCACGATGAGCTGTAAAAACATTATGGCTTGTAATAACGTACACACATAATAAGCACAAACACATTTTTGCTTATCAGCTCGAATGTGTAAACAAACACGTTGGGTGTGCAACCGAGCCCCTTTGGGTGTAGCTTCAAGTTCCAGACATCGCTACCAGCGAAACGAGTGATAACAGCTTATTTGACCTGCTGTAGATATGTTATTTGGCAATGTTGAAAATACACTTCCGGCTACATATTTGCAAAAAAATATTGAAAAACATATTGAAAAACCAAACATATTTAAAGTTACCATATTACACACTTAGTATAGTCTTTTAGAAACTTATTTGCACCTGTGTCCTAGTTGTGTCAAACGTTCCCCTGTTTGTAAGTAAGTCCGCATGGGTGGTGCGACAGGAGGGTTTCATGTGTGCAGCCACTCGCCTCACTGAGGAGGAGATTCTAGTAGTCCCAAACGTTCCTCTTTGGTAAGTATAGTCAGCACGTTGGTGGGGGAACAGCGGGGTTCAGCAGTATTTCTAGGCATCATCGAATTCATCGATTATTTACAGGGTGTGGATGTCTGTGATGAAAGTATCCACTCTAGTTCTGTGGATTATCGCCTTCTTTTTTTGGCGTTGAGTAGTTGAACTGGCATTGCCGGCAACTCTCTGCATAGGAGAACAACTGTAACACATCTCTGCATAGGGTCTCCTGCCTATCATGGCACCATTCCTTAGGTCTGGTGAAGCCGAAGGAACCCCTCACACCAAGGTCGCGGTCGGAAGATTTGGGGATAGTGCTTCTGTTTCAGGAATATCTTGACGCAGAAAGTAGCATTAAAACCCAGCTCCAAAACATGGAGGAGACCAAGTTGATGATTGAAACCTTCATGACGCAGAAAGGAGTCAACCAAGTTGTCAAAAACGGCATGGCCAAGCTAGGGGATGATCTTGGTTTCGTCTTCGCCTGCCGTTTGGTCATGGATAAATTTGTGAAGAGGGTGGCGTCCCTGTCCAACAGCATACCTTTCAAGTAATTAAAGATAATAATCCTTCGGTGTCATGTGGAGTGATCCAGGATGAATGACACGCATCTCGGTCTGCTTGATCTCGAACGCGATGTCGACGCTCTCTTAGTCAGCGAACAGTACAAGTACCTTTATAGGAACCCAACTTCTTGGTTCCCTAATCTTGGTTATGCCACATTCTGGACACGTAATACAGATAAAGCACAAGAGTAGGGTCACGCGAAGGACCGAGTTTTCGTCTGGGCTCGATGCAGGGATGACACTTACTTCAGTGTATACCTCACTCCCAACAAGGCCATCCGTAAGAAGATAGGCCGCCTGGAAGAGAGCGCGCGCGATAAAACAGGGCACGCCGCTATGGGTGGGGATTTTTAAAGCTAGGGCTGTCGACGCTTATCTTCCGGCACCATAGAATAAGGGGAACGATCCAAGACGTTGCATCTCAGTCCCTTTTGCCGAGGATCCCTTTGCTCGGAGAGTCCTGGACGACCACCAGTACATAATTTTTGATGTTCTGGATGGTCACCTGAGACTAGTTGCCGCGTCTTGGCAAATGCCCGTTTGATGAACACTAAACAACTGGATGTGGCCAAATTCAACGAAGCCATTCTACGGGGAGCGCCAGCGGTTCCTCACCCAACCAGTGGGTCTCACGCAGAGGCGTTACATCTATGATGGGAATGATTGTCTCGGCCGGTGCTATAATTAATCTGTATACTGGTGGACTTTTAAGATTACGGAACTATGCCAAGCTGCATTGGGAGCCAGACGACTCGCTATCTGGACCATAGAAACTGTAGACAGACGTTGTAAGTTGATGGCGAGGAATTCTCTTCGCTGGACCATCAATCGAAGCAAACACAATTGCTGAGAGGAGTTAAAGGACGATATAGACCGTGTGTCACATTTCATCCAGGGTATTCTCCTCACCAAAAATATTGGCCCTAACTGGGATGCAGTACGTGTAGGTCATATCCATAAATAATTATAACCAGTGAATTTGGAATACACATCCATCCTCCCCCTTATATTTGGAAGGAAACATGTGATTGACATGCCGTCTACATATAGATTGATCCATCATCCGTTTCAAGAACACGAATTGATTTTCCATACCTTGCTCTGAACATTACTAAACATAAACTTATTTTTATAGTCCCTTAAATTGTAAGCTTGATTTCTCTTCCCTTGTTAAATTCTCTTACTCCCTTTGCACATTTAAAGTAACTGTGTGAAGATTTTTGTTACCATTAAATGTTATCTCATTGTCACATTTCTCTAAAACATTAGGAAATAAGAATTTTACCCAGTATAGTTTATTGATTGTCTAATTTGCATCAAGAAAAGTTGTAACGCTATGCCCATTTCCCCCCTCCTTCATCCTTCAAGGCTAGACCCTTCTTTACAGTTTGAACAAATCTTTCTGGTTGACCGTTGGAAGAAGGGTGGAGTGGAAAGCTTGTTTTGTGTAACCCATCATAGTTTTTTGAAAAAATAATTTTATTTATTATCAGAAGTATCATTCTATATATCTTTCTTCTGAACATTTTTTATAGCTTAGTACGGCTCATTGGGTCCTTCCTTCTATCCTAAAAATATAGCAACCTCAGTAGTGGGCCAACTTCACAATATTCAGTTCTAGCGTAACATGTAAATCATACAGTTGGTTCATTTTACCGTGTCTCTTCTGTGTCTACCGTCGTATTATCTCATATCTGTTACGGGTGGCGTCGTCCTGTAATCCAGCTACTAGGAGGTAACGAATTGTGGATATTTATAGGCATGCACTGTGGATGCGATACTCTCTGGTGTGGATTAACGTCCGCACGAGTGAGTACTGCGACTATCCGCAGTACTATCCTGATAATTAGACCAATTCGTATATACCAAGGCAAAACTGTGGTCGGATTCCACTATAAACTGTAGGTCCCTTAGTTACCATTAGCTGTATGGGCTATTAATTAACAGCTGCGTCTAAGGAATATGTCGCCCTTTGGCCTTAGTCACTAACAAGACTACAAGATAGTGCCACTTATCCTACACTCATCTCCATTCATACTTGGCTTAAAATACCTACTTTGTATGGTCGCCATTTCATCGAAAAGTATTAAAGTATCTTCTAGTTTAATAGTAGGAGCCTGGCCAATAACTTTCTTAGATAATCCTATAACAAATAACTACTTATCTATTACAAATGTCAGCACCTCTTACCTAATTTAGAATCCGAACTAGTTTTGTTGTAGTTTTACGATTTGTTTGTTTGGGGGGGGGGGGGTTGAAGGTATGGGGGAACAGAATACTAGGTTTTTATTGTCTTCTAACAAAAAAGTAAAATCGCTCCAAATATTAATTGATGATTATTTCTTCAATTAAATATTAAAAAATAATAAAATCCCGGATGTAAAATAAGTATCAAAAAGTTTGGTCGAATTGAGTTTTCTTTTAAATCATGAAAAGGTAAGCCTACAATGGATTGTTAAGAGTTGTAGAAGAACGGCAGTGTGGATGGCTCACAATATACGGTGCGGAGAGGGGCTGAAGAGGCGACTGATGTGGGGAGGCTAGTGGCAGTGAACGGTCGACCCACCCTCAATTACTGGCGTGGTGACTGCAACATCCTCAATGGCACGGACGGCTCCATCTTCCCACCCTTCCGTCGTCCAGACAATCGCAGTCTAGTCGCCTACTCAGGGGAAGTCTGCAGGTAAAGCTGATCAATTATGAAACCATGACATTATAGGTTACTAATCAGCTGCATGATACCCACAGAACTACTATGGTTTCGCATCATCAGTTCAAAACCAAGGGAGTAATTTTTTATGTGTTTTATGTATGTCGTTATTCATAAAATATCAAACATACATAGAAACTTCCACAGATCACAATCGAACAAATAAACTCAGTGCACATGTAACGTGTACCGGCATGTAGGTGAACGCCAACGTCGTCAACTGCGTAGCTCAGTCACAAACATAATATGAACAAGATTATTTTCATAGAATGCCTTGATAAGGAATTCTTATCAAAAATCTGTAAAGTACCTTTGGATATTATCACTGATTAAATTTGTCAAACACTTATATCATTTAACGTAGCATTCAAATGTCTTAAACTAAAAATATTTTTTTTTTAAGTGGCGATTTACGTCAAAGGTCTAGTGCAGACCATTCACGAATATAGTCTAACTGGATTCAGCCGCTAATCTTGGAATTTCAAATTATCTTGCAAAGAATCTCTAATTCCGTAAGCCCAAAATTTTACAATGAAATTGTGAGCAAACGGTAGGCCGTAGAAAGCTGGGAGGGGTCTCATTTTAAAAGTCTGGGCATGAAATTTTGGGGGAAATTATTATTTTTCTTCATTATGCACCAAAAGGTTGTTACGGAATAAAATAATTCACATTTAAATAACATGGGAATCAAGGTCATGTCTGCCTTGTTTACTTTAAAACATGTGGTTTAACTTTATTTAAATCATATGGTAATATGTACTGGAATATGTATACTAACTCTACAGAGGATTAAACCATAGATAAAACATACTCCGAACATACCAATGACTCATTCCATCGAATCATGTGTGTTGTCCGTAATGATTCAGTGTTGAAGTCATGTTAAGTTCGCACCATTTTCACCAGCATTACTCAACGAGGATGATTCTTGATGATTCTGATGTGCAATTGGTATCCCAGCAGCACCCATTCTCAGCCAACTTAACCAACAAACTAAGGCTCACTGCTCTTTAGGAAGCCACCTAAACAGAAATGGAATACAAATGCTCCATGCAAAAGCTGATGCAGACCGTCTAATTATCCAAATAGCCATTCAACTAGAAAAAGAAGGGAAAATACTATCATTGTTGGGGAAGACACTGACGTATTCGTCCTGTTATCGATCCTTACTGACCCTGACCAAAATAATGCTCATTCCTCTTTCAACAGATCATCAACAAAAAATATTTTCATCCATGGCACTGCAAAAACGTATGGACAATGTCAACGAGCATATTCTTTTTCCGCATTCTATGCCCAGTTGTGATACCATGTCAGCACGGGGTAGCGGATTTTTATCCCCCTGGAATTTTACCCCCTGGGCAAACGTGACGTCACAAACCAGGGGGTAAAATTCCGGCCGCGAACTTTTGAGTTTCGCGACATCAGCTCGATGGATTAAACGCGGAATTAAACATATATTTTCACGGTTGTGAATTTAATCAGGGGCCCTATTTTTGAAATGGTTGACTGTTGAGTTGAGTGTCGAGTCATTCTATTTCCAATCGTTTCGTATTTTTGAAACGATTGACGGTCGACTTATCCAACCAAAACTACTCACTACCTACTGAGCTGTTGAGTGGACGGTTGACTGCACTTTCTTCTTCCTCTTTCGGTAAAAAATTGCTCTTTTTGAGTCGACGCCATATTGTTATTGCTTTAATTTATTAATTGCGATTTAGAGGTTATGTTTATGTATTTGTTGTCAATTTATTAGCACCCAATACTTTATGCGATTGTTTTCTGTAGAATAATTGCATTTTAATTTTATTATTACTGTGTCAATACTAGACTATTTATTCAAGGGTTTTATCCTTGTTGGTATGTTTGAAATAGACTAGGCATACTAATTGAACTTAATAAAGATAATTATTGTTATTAGACCTATGATTTAAGGTATTAAAGATTGTGGTAGAGAGAAACAATATCATAGTTTGTTTCAATACCATTCACCTAATAAAGGGATCAAATTAATTTAAGTTACGATATGCTTTCAGTGCAATGGCAAATAGCCGCTTTAACCTAAATAAAAACACAATCAAAAATAACATCAAACTAACCGATGAAGGAAACTATAGACGAAGAAAGCAAATAATAATGTATTTAGGATATGCCTAAACTTATAATTAGCTACACCCTAAAACAAACATCCATAGTAAATTTTATTTTTAATACTTAAGTTTATTTTATAAGTTAAGGTACTTTTGCAATCACTAAGATTGAAGATTAAGCAAGACGAAGACATAACCTCAATCTCTCAAGAACGGAGTTGACAGTTTACCTCAGTGTCTCGAAATATGGTAGATTGAGATTAGCTGCCAGATTTTAGAGTAAGAAGAGGTTAAATCGAAGATCGCAAGAACTCTGCATTGTGATTGGTTCAAAATGACGTCATCTGAATTTCGGGCGGTCGTATGCTCTACATTTCCACCACGAGTCACTCAACTAGTGATTCCCAACTCGCTTCCCAACTGTTGGGTTTCAAAAATACCAAATCCTGTTGTTGGTTGAGTTGAGTGTTGACTGTAGAGTCAACTGTCAACCATTTCAAAAATAGGGCCCCAGAACACATCAAATTATAAAAACCTAGAGTGTACGGCCCGGATTTTTACCCCCCGGAATTTTACCCCCGGAATTTTACCCCCCGGAATTTTACCCCCCGGAATTTTACCCCCGGAATTTTACCCCCGGAATTTTACCCCCCGGATTTTTACCCCCGGAATTTTACCCCTGGAATTTTACCCCCTGGCTAGATATAAAAATTAGCGAGAATGATTTATTATCTTCATTCTGTTTTAATTTAATAGTAAACATTTTATTATTAAGTATCCTATCTTAATTTATTTGTGACATTAACTAATCGAACATGTTTTTAACGCGCGAGGGGATTAACATAACTTACTGAGCACTGTTCACTCATAATGATTCATTCGCCTTTCCAAGTACTGTTGATGAGATTCCTTGCAGTAGTCAACACAACAATTGGTCGAATACATTGTAGGCATACCGGATGCCTACAACTACATTTCACAACATGTATTTCGATCACCTTTATCATTACAAACTATAAATAGCACATGGTTTGTGCCTGATGAAACAAGAAGGTTGTTGTACAACTGAAACTAAATACATTGTTTTTCATACTTATTAACATGACCTATTAATAAATAATGCTTATTTTTCTTCATTATTATTATTACTATTATTTACTATTACTATTACTATTATTATTTTTTTTATTCTGATTTTGATTCACAATGCCACAATGGAATGGCTAGATGCTTTACTTATTTACATACTTATTAACCAACAGTTTGCCCCAAAGGCAAATCCCGAACATCAAAATTAAACAGCGAATTCGTTTGACTTAGTTGAGATTACAAAATAAATAAATAAAGATAGGCCACTAAATAATGAAATGTTTACAATTAATTAAAAACAGAAATAAGAAAACCAATCATTCAATTTCTAAAATCGGCCAGGGGGTAAAATTCCGGGGGGTAAAAATCCGGCCCGTACATTTCAGTTGTCTAAACACTAGTTATATGGACAGGGGGTAAAATTCCGGTTTTTATCGCTAATTGAATTAATCACGCTCTGACTATTATCATTAGACTTCGAAATCCGCGGGAGTAAAATTCCGGCCGCGAACAAACTTTTGGCCACTCAGGTTACTACGTCATAGTGACGTCAGCTTTGCCCAGGGGGTAAAATTCCAGGGGGGTAAAATTCCGGCGACCCGGCAGCACCCTACAGGAAAGGGAAGATCTTCAATGTTCTGAAGAAATCCCCACACCTTCGCCAATGAGTGATTGTGTTCAATCGAGAAGAAGCTACACAGACGGAAATCGTCAAAGCTGGAGAGTAATTGCATGCAGCCGTTAGATATGGGGAAATAAGAGGCAATGGACTCGACACACCTCGGTACAAACATGTATCTGAAAGCAATAACGAAACGTCTTGACGTTGAATTTGACCTAGTGTTAAAATAGTGCAAACCTTTTTTTAAATATGTGTAGTAACGGTAAGTAGTTCGCTACAAACTATTTACTCATTTGGGGATTTTAAGGTGAAATATTAAAAAGTTATTTTCATTACACTTTCCGGACAACAGCCGTTTTTTGTTCTCTAAATCGGCTGCATAATCATAGTTTTCTGGTAGTTTTTTTTTTATTTAAACTTACTTGAAATTCTATATACTATGAGTCATTGTATTGTGGTGATAATAATTAGAGAAGAGACAGGTGATAGAAGGGAATGGGATCGCAGAAATCTCTTAAGGTTTCAGTGACCACGGAGGTCAGGTACGATAAGTGATGCGATGGGAGGTGGCTGTATCGTTGACTATACACTTCTCAATTGAATATACTCTCTATACTGTACTTAATTAGTGTGCGAATCAGCCGCAAATCTCACTCAACGGCTTTTTAAATAGAAAAAAATGCTCCTTTATTGTAAAACTAGCTGTGTGCCCGTTCTACGCACGGGGATCTTATCGTAGTCAGTTAAAACCTTCTTATATTAAGCACAGCAGTTGGTTTGCATACTTTCAGATGGATATAAGATGACCCGAAATTCTGTCGAAATGCTAAATGAATCGGCTTGCTATATGAAATGAAGTACTATAGACGATTTAGAATGGTAATTTATAATAACAATTACCAAAATATGCCACGAACCATTGATACATAAACAACGTTTAAAGCGTTTGAACAATTTATGATGGTTTGCTGAATAAATGCTTCACTAAAATGCGTTATCGTTTTCTTAGCATAAACTAACATTTTGAAATCCAGACAGAAAAAGCAAAACTTATACAGTTAAGACATCAATTGAATTGAATACGCCTGTAATAAATATGGTGCAACACCAACGATAGCTACTTTGTAAATTATAGTGATGTGTTGGTACGTAAAAATGATTCTTGCTGCTACCAACGATTCAAAGGAAAAGAACCAGTACCAAAAACCAACGTTTACAGTTAAGAACTATAGTCCATCCGACCAATTAGATGCGTTAATCAAGGTTATTGATCTCTTGGTTTTGGATTTTCTCGTAAAAAGTAATCGGCAATCAAAGTTATTTCCCATTAATTGCTTTATTTGTAAACAACTCTTAATGTAAACTTATCGGTGTCAGTTTGAAAAAGAACATTAGAAGGAAATGTGACAAAAATCACACAACGTTGGGTTTTTGGACGTTTGTAATTTTATTTCTTAAGTAGGTAGGCCGTGTATTATACGGAAAAGTACCAGTATCAAGGATCGTCGTCAAAAAGGTTGTTATAAATAATTGGGTAGGCGTACGTACCCAAGAGATGGGCTATGGGCCTATATTGGCTGTATGGTCCAGCGATTGCATCACACGGTGAGTAGGAACTATTGACTATATATAGGCTAGTCAATGGTAGGAACAGAAAGTGACACATTGGAAAATCGAGTTTAGTCGAGTTTAGTGTGAATTAGTGGAAAATCGAGTTGGAAAATGGAGTGATCCGTAAACCTCTGTTACAATCACCCACTGCAGTTGTGATTTTTTACTTTACACTTCACACAACAGCCATTGAAGCGCCTTCAATGAGTGGAACCTTGTTTCTAAGCTATTGGTGACAATCACTAAAAAATTTAAGTTTCCCAGCCGTATACAACACTGATTCAATGTCATCTTTCTGGTTATCAAAACTCAAGAACAATTTTATACACAAAGAATCTCTGGTTCCTGACCTGGATGATGCCTAGTTATTTAATTTAATTTACGGTTACACTATATTATTCCACTTGCGATGAATTAAATCCTTTATGTAAGAAAAACGTTTTTAATCTCACTTGGATAGGATTTGCCTTCAAAACGTGATCGGAAATGGTTGCGGTATTTGTAAACAACATTTGTAAACATATCAGTGACAGCTAGAAAAAATAATCTTGATCCGAACAGCTGTTCGTTATATCATAGATAATTATTATGTGATAAAAATTGGACGAAAACTTGAAAAAAATCGCACAAAACTGCATTTTTGAACGTCCGTAATTTTATTTACAAAGTAGTGAGGCCATAGTTGAATGGCTAAAGACACTCTCGCCAATCCAGTGAATACATTAAAATGACTTGGATCTTGATAGGTACTCTCGTCTTCCTGGAGAAGATTGCGTAAAATGCCATCTTGAGTGTTACAGACAGACAGAAAGACAGACAGAATTTTGGATGAGACTTGTTTCGGCTTCTTTAATGTATAAAACGTAAAAATAACCTAAAAATTTATAATTCTGAGCAATGTACGGACAAAACTCTAATTTTATTTATATAGAAGATAATCGGATTAAAATGCAAATCGTATAGGCCAAAATCGGATGAAAAAATATTTGGTAACGTGACTGTTTACAAGGATTTTTCACATTAAACTGCTAGAAATTTTGTTTTCGTAATACTGTCCGGAAAACAGCCGTCTTTGGGATTGGTGAATCTGTACTTTAGAACAGACCCTTGAACCATTGGTCAATCTGTATAGTAGAACAGACCCTAGTAATTGGTGAATCTGTATGTGATCTTTGTACCATGAAAGGGACGCCTAGGTGACTTGTTGTGTTTGGATATGAGGCAAATCGCAACTTGGATTGGACATATATGACAAAATAGCCTTGCATTTATTTGTCCAGAGCCGTGCTTTAAGTAGGACTTGAAGAATCCTACTTTGTTTCTTTTGGTTAGTGCCAAAATTTGATTGACTCGATTATTATTTAGAGGTTTTTAAATCGGTCACAGTTTTATTACAAAGTCTACTTTGGTAAAATGTAAATGTTAATCCATAGTTTTATTCTGATTTTGATTTTATACAATGAACAATCTTCAAAACAGATTTACTATTATCATTTGTCACCAGAGTGGTTCATGGAGTGTACGAGGGTGAGCATGACGTCAACAGAGTATCAGGGTACGCATACACAGTGACATTGGGGGACACGGAGAATGAGCCACAAGATAAGTGCTACTGCGCCGCTGTGGACCGTTGCTACAAGAAAGGCACCTTGGATGCGTACAGATGTCAGGGTAACGAACCTTTCGTTATTGTTGATAATGCAAGTCTTCTATAGACTGTGAGATGTAGTTGGGTAGTGGAGCTCAGTGGTTTACAAAGAACATTAATATCAATTAAACAATTATTGTCTAAATAGTTAGCATACTCTAATGCTTCACAATTATCTCGATTAATACCTATGGGGGCCTGCTAAATTACTCACATAGGTTGACATTTAAGTTGAAGTTATAAAAGTATGAATAATGCCATTATTACAATGATCTACATTATAATCTCTTCTACTACTTATTTTCCAGTTATATTTATCCATACAATCTATATTATAATTTATGAAGTACTTTTTTGTCGGTACGCCATAACTTCCTTATTTCTTCATCGATTTTGTTAAATGTCAAATCAAATCAAATCAAATCCAATCAAAATATCTTTATTCGTCATCTGTACATGCTTGGTACATTGAATAGTGTCAATGAATAGCCTATATTACATTTAAAATATTTGTAACATAGGCCCTAAAATTAAATATGTAATAAAATAAAATTAATAGTACAAATTCTTAAAGTATAGAAAAGAACTTAAGTTACAGAATGGTTTTAAACCTCAGCACTAAATGGACTAAATTAAATTAAACTAACTAACCAGCACCTCTATAAAGATTATCTAGTGAGTAAATAGCCCTTTCAGTCAAGAAACTTTTTAATGCACGTTTGAATGAATTTAAATTGTTGTTATTTTTAATATAACTTGGTATGTATTCCAAAAATTTGGATCCATTATATGTTTTTTTCTTTTCAAAAAATTTTAATCGATGTTGATCAGTCTGGTAGTTTCATTTTAAAGCTTTCATCTTCATTTACATCGGAAAAAATACAATTCACTCTCATTTCATGAGTTCCTTGAGAAAAATTCATTTCTTAAATAAAATAATTAAACTCAAAATGTATTTAGAGGACCTTCGGACGAGATAGGACACTTTGCTACTCCTTTCATGAAGCGACAAAAAACTCTAACTGGTAGTTTAGACACAAAATGGTATGCTCGAAGCTAACGGGCACCATATGCCAACACAATCGACATGGCTTTTAGCAACCATCTGCATATTCTACTCTCCCGCTAATATACCATAACTCTGGCACACTTACAAAGTCTCCCTTGGCCAAGAGTTCCTTAGACAAAACAGACCCAAACATGCGTACAACCACTTGCCGCAGCAACCAGAAGCAATTTTTGTCGACACGTTAGAAACTGCAAAGCTTTTCCTGCTTTAGCTTTTTAGCCAGTTGTTATCGAGGAACAAAGTACAGCACACATCTACCATATACATGAGGACCGACCAAAAGGTTATGGCAGTTACTACGCTGTATTAACTGTGTTGTGCATTTCAATTAAGAGGTATTTGAGGAGGATATAGTGCGAATGCTTAGCTCTGGTCGGCTTGTCTTTACTTGTTTCAAAATCATGGTTAACGCAGTATTTGGTTTACGTGTACTCCAGGGGCGCCGTTGGTGGCGTCGCTACCACACTTCTACGGTGGAAGTCAGGACTACATCACCGGCGTCAGTGGGATACAGCCCAACAAGGAGAAACACGAGATTCTCGTTGTCCTGGAACCTGTAAGATCAATTAATCAAAACTTCTAGATATACGGTATTATAATGTGTAATTAAATTACAACGATGACTGCCATCTTTAAACTTTAGTTAACAAGAAATAACAGTTGGTCTACAACACAGTTTTTTGAGCAATATTTGCATACAGACACCACCTATACAGATACAAGACACCTTTTAATATTATAGATTAAAATAGTTCGTATACCTGATAAATAAGTATATCACTTGGCATGCAAGAAAAAAGCACATCACTAAATCGAATTAATATTTTTAATTCAATTCTGTTTATCTTAGACCTATAATAATCTAACGTAGTACAATATGATCCTAATGTGAAATACTATAGTTCGGCCGCTTAGAAAACGACCTGCGCGCTAATGCTAAACCAATGCTGGAGGAGGTCGCTTTCTAAGCGGCCGAACTATAGTAGCCATTAAAAAATTGTTGTTATAACGTGTGTTACATATTAGACAACTGGGATACCTTTGAGTGTCAAGAAGAGGATTCAAATGAATATTGACCTGAAGCCAATACGCTACACACCCAGAACTCAAAACTTTCACCGGACCCTAGTGCCACTCTTCTGGGCTGAGGAGGTCAGTTGTAGCATTCGATAAACCCTATACCGGACTGTAAGTAATACTCCTATTCCACATCACAAATCCAGTGTAACATTTAAAGCTACAAAATACCACAAACCTTCTTTACATTATGTTATTTCTGCTTATGTTGATGTGGTGTGGTGTATAGCACATGCAATGATGCAAATAATACTGGGAGGATTTCATCGTATATAGCTGATCAAAATTTCTCTCAAGAATATTTTCAATTTCACAAACACGATGTTCATAATGTTTGAAGTATACTAAGAAGATTTTATGTTTCAGTTGTTTGAACTGAATGGTGAACTTCTTGAACTTCTCGAAGCCTCTCTTCTTCGCCCTGTGAAAGTTGTACACTTCGGTCGATGGATATTAGTAATATTTGGAGTAGTTTTACTTTTATTCTCTATAATTATCAAGACAAAACAAATTCGGAGGAATAGTAAGCTTGATCCAAGCAAGAACTTTGATTACGGTCCGGAGTTCAAAGAGAAGCTGCAATCTTTAGACTCAGAGGAGACAGTAACAAGTGGTCCGTTCTTCATCAGTCAACCTCCAGCTATAGGCCTACCTCAACCTCGGTGGGGCAAGACCAAAAACACGGCCGAAACCCTCGTGAGTGGTGGGCTGGTAAGAACTACAGCAGTTGGAGGAGTAAAAACTGTGAAATACAAAAGAATATCTGGACTTCAAGAAATTCTTGTGAAAGAACAAGAAAGAAATCAGTAAGGTCTATGCGGTAACGGGTAGGATGTAAACAAAACTACACTACCGACAACCAGTGTATAGAGCTCCAAGCGGCTATTCTCACAACTACTTCACTACTTGACGTGGCTGTGAGTTACAGCAGAATACTTCAGTCGTGTCTTGTTTGTCAACTTAATTGACAAAAAGTTCATGAAGTAGTACAGTAGCAGGTATATTTGATTCATTTTCATAAAACGTAAGCCCTTTTTATTTGCTAAATGCCATACATCTGAGGATAACACACGAAAAACTCCCAATTTATACAGTTTGGTTAATCAAAAATAGGGTGTTTTGTTTTGTTCTATAAAACACCATAATCTTTAATTCAAGAAATCAAAAGCAATTGTATCCATAAATTAAACGTACGTGCATGCATTATCGTTGATGCTGGTTAAATCGTAACTGGAGGCCCACGTGTTATGTTCGTTCGGGCGGGGATAATATTCTACACAAAGTTAGTTTATTGTTGTGTTTTCTGGTGAGTTGCACTATATTTGATTCTTATTAACGATCTATTTTTAATATTTGCACACGAATGAGTAAATGAAATAACAACAAAAGGTTTGGCTTACATTTTAATAAATAAGGATACGGTACTATAATATTAAGATACTATTTTTATAAAGAGCTAGTCTTATCAGCTTCACATCACTGTGGCCCGGTCTCATGGGTAAAAAAATATTGCAATGTAAGCCAAATAACCTCGTAAAACTGAGGGTCTAGATTTAATACTTGTCAAATTTAGGCTAATTAATTTTAAAAAGTAGACTACTGTAATGGCTGCATGATTTCCACTGTAGCCGTTTTTTATTTGGCCAAGGGAAGGCTTTCTTTTAAAAATCTTGTGATGGTAGAACTAAAAAATTAAGCAAACTTAAACATAAATATACAAGATTATTTGTGCTCTCTTGCCAGGACCGAATCCTTGAAATTTGAGAAATAATAAACTACTATTTGTAAAGAATCTTTATGGAAATGCCTTTAATTAGATATCTCAAACACTATAATAGGAAAAGGAACACACTAAAATGTTTATTAACTAACTACTGTACTTTGAGAATAGTAAAAGCAATTATTTTAGGTACTTGATACCTTTCCAATAGTTATTGAGATCTACACATCTAATGAAAGAACATTTAATAAGTACTGTAGGCCTATGTGTTTGTATTGGTTGAAAATGTACCTGTAAATCTAGATGGGTTTTGTTACTTTTTAAGACGGTTTTAATTATTTTCCCATCGCTGGGCCCTTTTTAGAACTAATTTTTCTTCATCATTAGTTTAGATTATTACCATGGTTATAGGTTATTATTTCTGGATCCATATTGAGGCGAGAAAGTACAAATCACTGTATTATTAGTAGGCTAACTCATCAATAAAACAATATTTTTTAAGAATTTGAATAAGTGTATTGCCCTCTAAAATAGATGTTCAACTGAATATATTTTAGTATGCTAAAACATATACTTAAGTATACGGGAATTAGGCGTCGCCGGCCGCGGGATTTCATGTACTAGCTGTAAACACCATCCCGGAGAGAGGTCTTTGAAAATACATGATCCTACCCAGAACATAAAGTTTTATGTTTCAGTATTGTATTCACAGACTTTTTAAATATTTAATTATAGTTTTTAGAATTGTTTGCAACGGTGGAATGTACGATAGTAAAAATTATATGGACAAGAATTTACTTTTCATAGGAATTAATTGAATTTGAATATTAAAAAAACCATATGAAATATACATTTCTACTCCACTGTTACCCAGAGACATTTACAGGAATTTAAATGCCGAGGTCGCTGAATATTTAATTAACTGTTTAGATTTTCGTTTTCCACGGTTCTGTGTAAGTATTATTAATTTTATTTTAATTAATTTTACTAAACTTAGTTATATAGCCTGTATTAATAAAATCAGATTCTTAATGAAGAAAAATTATATCTTTCATTCTAAAGTAATAGATTTTATTCACATATAACCTACTTTCAACAAAACAATAATTAATTGTGTTTTAAAGCTTTTCATCCTGATAAATGTAGCCTACATTAAATATCTGCATTGAAGTAATGCACAATTAGTAACCTCTATTTAGCTTAAGTGTGTATTAGGTAACACTTATAAGATTTATAATTAAGTAACAAATTTAACTGTGATTTATGAAAAACCGAGTATGTACACTATGTTACAGTGACATCAACAAACAAGAACAAACTTGCAATGATCTTGAATTTGAAAACAATTTATATTTCATTACAATAGTAGAACGTGAGTCCATTACATATTTGAGACCAAATGGTCAAGAATATGTATAGACCCGCGTTCACTCGAGTTTTAACGTTATTTTCCGCTACTCTCCAAAGACTAATTATTTTCTTGATTAAAACAGACATTTGATATTACTTTATTACAGTTAGGAAGATTACAAAATTGATAGAATTTTTTTAGGTTATGCCTTCAGTTTAAAGTTAATTTTTACTTTGGTTGTACAGTTTTGGATATTGAAAATTGAAACAGTTGACAAAACAATAACAAATCATTATTTTCTTACGCCGGCAAAATCCAAAAAAGATAGTATACATTACTTTCGCAAAGTAAACATTCTTTTCCGTAGTAAACAATGTAATGATAAATTTTTGCACGTGATAAACATGTAACGAAAATAGGTCATTTCACAGTAGTGTACCGGAGTAGTAGGGAAAAGCCGGTTCTGGATCAACCCCGACAGACCAGGGATTCTCATCTATTTACTCTTCCACTCATCGAAAAGTCGTTTCTGGACCAGCCCCCAGTAGACTAGAGATTTGCCCATTTTCAAGCTTGGCTGGTAGTAGTATATATATGTGCGTCCTACTTCGGGATCCAATATGGGCTCTTATGGGAATACCTCCCCACACCCTGGCTGTCGTTAGCGAAGAGGCTAGTCCTCTTCATGCCCTCAGTTGCTTCTTCCAGTATTATAAGAGAACGTGTATCGAAAAAGCACTGCTGCTTCTCATCCCTTTTTTGTGTATGCCCAGACTCTATATAGGACAACACTCGCCCGTGAAAATGGATGATGTGTATTTGGAAGCGTGCCAGTCCATGGACAGCAATACTTCGTTTTCCAACACCTCTTCAGAAAACGCAGTTTTCACTGCGACCCCAGAAAGCGTGGTTTTCACCGCGACACCTGAAAGCGTGGTTTTCACTGCGACCCCGGAAAGCATGGTTATTACCGTGTCACCTCTGCCTGTCGATTCGGATGACGACGTGAGATCGTTTGAGCTCACCGACGAGGAAGCCGGTTCCGGTGTTTCCCCTATTGTCGGTTCTAGCTTACCCGATGACACTAAGGTGCAGTGTCCAATCTGCGGTGTACGTGTATCGAAGCCCTACTTAGGAAGACACAAGAAAACCAAGAAATGCTCTAACGCCGCAAGCGCACAAGAGACAAGAGCTGATATGGTGGTTGTTCAAGCTACTCCTCAAGAGAAGAGTTCACGTTACAGTGTGAAGGTAGCTTGTGACCGATGTGGAGATAGTGTGTCTGTTGCGAATCTTAAACGACATCAAAAGTCAAAGAAATGTCTAGCTGCAACACAAGCTAGTGAGCTGGCTTTGGTACCTGACGTTGCCACGGAACCCCGACGTCTGTCTAAGATTGAGTGTGATACTTGTGGTAAGCTTGTTACTACTTCGAACTTGGCCCGACATCAGAAATCAAAACGATGCCGTCCACCTGTGGATGTTCGCGAAAGCACTGCCCCAAAAATGAAGACATGTTTGCTATGTGGAGTGTCTATGCTACCGGTTCAATGGAAGCATCATAAACTGTCGGATCGTCATATTAGCATGCTGAGACAAACTCAAAATATGGCAGGTGTGAGTTCCAGAAATGTTGTATCGATTGCTCCACCTATAAACAATCAACATGCTGTACCTTCCACGAGTGGTGAACCCGTGAAACAATATGTGTATCCTCGAGCTGGTTCAACCGATGTGGAGGTGTGTAGGATTTGTATCAAACCTGTAAAAGTGTCAGAATGGTCTCAGCATTCCAAACACCATCTTTGTCCTGAAAAGCCTCAAAAGTCTAGTTTGGATATTAGGCGATTGGTCAAAAGATATCCGTAGGTTAAAAGGAGTGTTAATGTTCCACACCCAAGTATGGACAATGTTGATCTGAATGCTATGGTGAGAAAACCTACTAGACCTCAAAGACCTGATAAATTCCTTCGTACGACCCTTCAGAGCCCACTCCCATCAACATCAGCTGATGTTCCAAATGTTGTGGAGGAAATTACACATCAAAATCTCATTGATGCATTGGATGACATTCTAAAATACACTGATTTTGTGACAGACGAACAGTTTGCAGAAGCTATTGAGGATTTTGATTTTGGAATGATTGATGATCCACACTCTGTTGTCAAGAAACCCCGAAGACCTTCTCTTAAGCTCATTATTCCTTCTCCTTTAGAGCTGAATATACCTAACAGTCCTGTTTATCGATCTCCACTCCATATTCCTGACAGCCCATCCTATAATCCACTATCACCATTTACCTTTGGGAGCAATCCTCCTGGACTAACCCTTGGGGAAACGTCTGAAAGTTCGATTGATTTGGTTGCTCCCCCACCATCTCCAATTATCCCACTCACCCCAACACCGGAAGTTGGTGTAGAGCATGATACTAATGGTGATGCTGATCAGACACCAGAAGATAACAACGCAAGTGATGATGACAGTGGATCATTGGAGGTAAGACAAATTGAGACAGCATTCAAGTCAAGACTTAGAACTTTTGTTATCGACAACAAGACTAATGTCAAGGATCCAACTTTGTTTTTGAACATGTGCACAGATTTGGTTGAAGAAAAAATTGAAGAAATGGTCGTGGAAAGCAATATAAAAGTCAACTTTGTCTTTCATGCTGAATTTCAGAGAGTAGCTCAAGACAAGAAAATAAAACAACTAATGAATTTCAAGACTACTAATAAAATT